TTGAGAAAGAATAACCTAGTTTTATTTAAGAAAGGACTTGTATCTCTAAAGTTTCTTCGGAAAGAATTTTTACAGAAAATTAACAAACGAACGACCAGAGGCATAACAATATGTACCTTGTAGAGTAATAGTATTTTGATATAATTAGAGTATGGAAATGATGGCTTGATGGTAAAAATTCATCAAAATTAATGAAATAAAATGGTTTTACAAGATAAGGACTTTTTTCCCCAAACCAAAATATAAAAAAAAACCAAACAATGAGAAATCACACAATCATTAATCTAGCAAGAATCTGTTCAACAAAAGATTTCAATCGTTATTGTCAAATCATCAATAGCCACATTTACAAACATAACTTGAATCACAAACAAAAACTAAACAAGAATGATAAGGAGGCCTACAATAATTTATAATCATAATGTTTATAAATCATTGTTTGCCTATTATTACATTAGTATAATGGGCTTCCATACTCAAGTAACTAAAGAGGAAATTAAAAAATATACACAAAAATTAATTAAATGACAAATTCACCATCAAACTTACCTAACACTTTCCCAAACGAACATCAAAGCATTTCTTAAAAAAAGGTTAAACTTTGCCATTATGCCATTTTTATTTCATATAACCGACATACAAATAGCCTTTGAATAACTAAGCAAAGTTTGCAAACTAGCCTTGAATGTAACCCAAACTCAAAAGAACTACAAAAATTCTAATGATCAACAAATCGACTTATATAAACAAACAAATTTGGACACCCAAGGCAGCAGCAGCCTTTCTTTCAAGGTTCTTCAATTGATATAATAAATTCTCAATACAATTTCAACACAAAAACGTTAGATCAATCTCCTTAATATCATTGCTAAAAGGAACAGCATTCACATAACAGAATAGGTTAATCTATCTGCTAAGAAATTCTCATTCAAACAAGCAACATTGGAAGGAATACATGTACAAATATGTATATATACATGTGTATATAAACAGAAGAATTTTTTTTATGTATTTATATGTACATTTTGAGATAAGCAGGGTTAATGCTCATGTGCAGCTGTGAAAGGATTAAGCCACCACATCATTCCTGCCTTATACCAGTTACAACAATATACAAAATCAAATCTAAACACTGTTTTGTTTTTGAATTTTGCACAAAGCTACATGAAGGCTATCTGCACTAGCCATCCCTAATTAAGCAGTGAAAGACTAGAAGGTAGCTAGTCATCACCATCAACCGCCAACTCTTGGGCTACTCTTTTACCAACGAATAGTGGGATTGACTGACACATTATAATGCCCCCACGGCTGAAAGGGCAAGCATGTTTGGTGTGACGTGGATTTGAATCCACAACCCGCAGATTGCAAGTCAAGTGCTGTAAACACTGTACCATAGGTAGTAACAAAAATATCATTTACACGGGTATAACAGATAAACAATTTTATGTACTCTAATATTTCTAACTATTTATTTTTTATAATTGTACATTGTTTGGATAGGAATATGTACAACATTTTAACACACTGAGACAAAAACCGATCATATCACTTGATTGTCTTAGGACTGTGTGTTGATTAATTATGTAATGAGAGTTTGACATTTTGTAATAAATCACATAATTCAGGTCAAATCAGTAAATAATGGAGATGCCCAAAAGTTTAATATCTGGTTACAAAACATTAGCTTTTTCTCTATGTTGTTCCCATTTTTCAAATGTGGCATATACCATCAAGACACTAAGGCCTTACACTCAAGCCAGTTACAAAAATATTCATGCAGAAGTCCAAAGAGAAGTTAACATGGACTTAATCAAAGAAAAAAGGCAATGTTAAAATCTAGGTTTCATCAACTTTATATAATTTTTTGAAGCACCTGTTGAGAAAGATCTACCTCGATCAAATATTTGATGGATGACATTCCCCCAAACCCACAATATCTACAGCATTAGTTGCCATCTTCCAGTGATATGTCATTTTATGCAGACCATTTTTTGAGATGTGCTACGAGGCAGCTTCCTTTACTACCAAATGATCAGAAGTTTATCAACTTCATATACTGGTAATTAATATCAAACATCCTTGATGCAACACTGCTCCTCCTTTTAACTTCCTTCAAATACCAAGATTTGGAAATTTTTCTTTTAATTTTAAAAGTAACAGTATATACTTGGGACTAGAAATTCACACTATATAACCACTAGATTTTTACACTGAAATTTGTGGTGAAAGCAACAATGTTAACTGGCACATTTAAGGCAAAACTGAATTACAGCTTCTAAATTCAAATGTATGTGTAGTAGGAAAGCAAATTTTGAACCTTTGTCTTTACAGCTACAAAGCAGGAAGACCTTTCAACCCAAGTAGATTAAATATGACCTAGAACATGAACCAGTTCAGATTCATGCAAACACCTTCATTAATTAAAAACACCTATGCCATAAGATTTATCAGTCCATCAGCATTTAAGGTGCTCGCCATATCATAGAGTCTATGATCCAGATACCAAAGATCCATATTTATTGTCAAAAATTATCCACGATAGATTCTGTATTTTTCTAAACTCCTGCTTTTCATCAAAGAACCTTGGAAATTTGTTAGCAAATAACATAATGACCATAACTGATTAACTGTGTCAGCTACATTTAACAACAACACAGAATCAAAACAAAATTTTCTAAATTGTCATATGGCTCTTTTAACATGAACTCTCAAGTTAGCAATAAGTTCCTTTGCCAGTCATGACTTCTTTACCTGGCTCTAACATATCCAAAATATCAGATATTCTAGTAATATGTTTGTCATATATATACATCCAAAATACAGATTAATAATAAAACAAACTGGTGTGATACAAATCAAACCTTTAAAGGTAGTTGCTCCCTTGTAATTAGAAAATAATTCAGAATTCACTTATAAACTTGATAAGGATTCAGTACAGTCTAAGATAACTATGATTCTGGGATATGTGTTCCTTGAATGCTGAAGCATGTGATCCTGTACCTAAATCCTACTGTACCACAAAAGCTGGGATCCTAAAATACAGTAAAGGAAATATGCCCATGAAATTGTGTTCCTATTGAATGTGGATTTGTTAATATCTAATTCATCTGCAGATCCTGATCAAGTGAGCCTAATTACATTTTATCTAGAAACATGCATCAGTAGTCCATTCTACTGCTGACTCATTTTCAGTCTTTGAACATGTATCTATTTGACCATTTTTGCAAAATAGGAGGCAAAAGCAGTGTAAAATGCTTTGAAATTGTGAACTATTGTAAAGCATTATCATTCTAGTTCAAATGCTCTAGTTAATACTTTATCACTTGCTTTTCCAATTCTTCTATGCACTTCTGAGCTGCTTCCATCTTCTCTTCAATGCTCTTTGGTGGGCAGTGCTCACAGATGGGATCAACATCTGGTACTTCTGACTGGACCAGAAAAAAATGCAAATCAAAATAATTTATTAAATTATTATCAGTCTTAAACTGTATATTTCAATTTTAAGCTTAATAGAATGGGTCACAAATTATGTAATAACCTCAACCTTTCCCATTGATTTTCTATCTCATCAGCATTCCTAAACAACAGTATTTGTAGTTTTGTTGTGTTTAGCAATTTGTTTTATTTTTCGTTTTAAAATATATTTCACTATTTTCATAACAATTGATATCTAATAGTTTTCCTAAGACGAAGCAAATAATTAGATATACTTAAACATAAATTAATTTATGAGAAAAACAATTAAATTAGGTCTTTCTTCATCCTACAGCTTTAAAAGAATCTAGCTTGGAATATTTTAACAGACATTTACAATCATTTAGCTTTGTTTGCAGTTAGTTGGTTCAACTGGAAGTTCTGACAACATGGCCAAATGAAATCGGTCTCTCTGAGGTTTTCATTACTTTTTAGACTATTTGAAAACTGATAGTATGGTATCAATTCTGAAATGTCTCACACTAGCGATCCTGCTTTCTTCAAGTCTTCCTTCTTGAAAGAGTCCGATCATACACGTGTTTGATTTTAGCCTGTGTTGGATAAACAAACACAAATACAGCTAGTGATATGTTTACTGCCAATCGTATGCCTCACATAACAAGATTTTCCTTTCAGCCATACGGGTAGTTAAAACTTCATTTGAGTGTTAAATGCATACCCATAAGTTATGACGTTTTAAAAATCTGTTATTTATAAAGCCGAACGTATAAGCAAAAACACAGACTGTGATAGTGACCTTTAGCATCGGCAATATGTAACTTTATTGTAACGCCTTATAGACCTATAAATTATAATTATATAATCAGTGATTTATTTCACATTGTTGATATAATACTGTTACGACAGCGGAAGTCACGTGACCCTGGTAACATATCATGAGCTTCTAGAACGTTCATGTCCCTTCCTGAAGCATCGAGCGTTTACTAGATATGCGGTATTCTTGTATATAAGACGGCCAAGAAGTGACGGCAACAATGTAATTGAATTGCAGACAGAGATACAGACGACAATTGAGCCAAGCGCGTGAATCGTTCGCTCGTTGTGAAATATAGCGTTTGTTTAAGTTATCGCATGACTGTGGAAATTAAGTGTATTGCAAAGTTGTATTGAGAAAGAATAAACTAGTTTTACTTAAGAAAAAACTTGTATCGCTAAAGTTTCATTGGAAAGAAATTATACGTGAAATTAACTAACGAGCAGAGACGTAACAGTTCTAATGTTTCTATACAATTAATGAATTCACCATCCAGTTGCCGTTCCGCTTTGTTTACGAATCTTTTATGTGTATTACTGATGTGCTTCCATAATTATTTTCATTGCTATATTCACATTTAATTTTAAAGGCCTAACTTGTGAATCGTAAATTCATTAAATAAAACGTATATTTATAAATATATGTTGTTGCAACAAAGAAGAAAAATAGAGTAAATATATTTTATTAAATTTATTTAAATTAGGTTATAAATTTACCACTAGAGAGAAGTACCAAACCACGCCCATTTATTTGTTGTTGAGATGTTTTCGGGTAAGTTTTAGGCCTAAGCGTGTATGATTAGCGAAAGCAAATTGTTGCTGTCTTTTTATATTATGTGTTTATTTGTTTCAAACTGTTGTCATTAACTTGTTAAAGGTTTTTATTCTAAGAGTAAAAAACGCACAGTCTCTTGCACGTATAAGTGTTGTTCCGAAGAATAACCACGACCTTTTGAACTTGTGCCGTTGTGGCCCTCTTGGTTTATTGAGTTATTCAATTATTGAAATTTTGATGTTTGAACATATGTACGAAGAACTTATCGTAGACATAACTTTGATTCAGTTTGAGGTTTAATCTTGGCCAAAATGAAAAGGAAGTTTAATATCTCTCTTTTATAACTATATACATATATATATCTTTTCAATAGGGTATTGTTGAAAGGTGTGCTATTTGATGTGACATTATATTTGAAGCAAATAAATTGATTTGTTTGGACGTCAAATTTTAATATTAAAAATCATTCATAATTGTAATAATAAAAAATGCCAGTTATCAAGGATGCACACATTGTTAAAATTGCCGTGCAGATGGAGTTTCAAGTTCCTCAGCTGCTTGAATTTAATCAGAAGCGGCCACTTACTGCTATTATTCAAGAAATATGTAACACTTGGAGTTTGTCGGAACCAGAGCAGTATGCATTACAATTTGAAGAAAATGCACAAAATTATATAACAGAAAAAAACAGAAATGAAATAAAAAATGGCAGTGTTTTACAACTAACAGCTTCTCCAATGAAAACTGCTCAAGAAATTCTCGAGAAGTTAAATTATGGAACTTTGGATGAAAAGAAAATAGCACTTGGAAAGCTTTTAAAACTCTCCAAAGATTACACCTTTGCACTTGAATTCATTAACAAACAAGGAAACCAGTTGTTAATTAGCATGGTCGAAAGTGGTTCATATACAGGAACACATTTAGCATTGACTCTTCAATCATTTGAAGAGCTTATGGATCATGGAATAGTTTCCTGGGATATATTGGAGCCAAAGTTTATTGGAAAAGTTGCAAATCAAGTAAACAGTCCAACTTCAGCTAGCTTTCCTCAGATCCTTCAGGCATCTCTCGCTATTCTTGAGGCTCTTGTAAATAATTCTGGCAAGTATCAGTTGGTAGAGCAGGAAGTAACATTATCCAATCTCATCATTCACCTTCAATCTACAAATCCTGAAATAAAGCAGAATGTCATTGCACTTATCAATGCCCTTTTTATGAAAGCTGATGGAACAAAGAGAAAACAAATAGCTGAAACCATGTCATCTCGTAAAGTTAGAAGCATCATTACAGGTACGATTCAGGTACAGCATTGTGGAGCAGAAATGGCTCATCAACTCTATGTTCTTCAGACTTTGCTGTTTAATATGCTAGAGGAGAGAATGTTGACAAAAATTGACCCTCAAGACCCTGATGCAAGAGATAAAATCCTAGATTTAAGAAAACTTGCATTTGAACCTGATACTGATCCAAGTAATCCTCCAAATCGTAAGGGAGGTGGCTACTCTAAAGATTACAAAAAGCTTGGATTTAAAAACAATGTCAATCCAGCTGAAGATTTTACAGAAACACCTCCTGGTTTCTTAGCTTTAGACAATATGATTTATTTTGCTCGAAACCAGACAGAAAATTACACTAAAGTAGTGTTGGAAAGTTCCTGCAGAGCAGATGAGCATGAATGCCCTTTTGCACGAAGTAGTATTGAACTCACAAAGCTTTTGTGTGAGGTTTTGAAAATAGGTGAGCCTCCCTCTGAACAAGGAAAAACTTTTTACCCAATGTTCTGCACTTGTGATCATCCCTTTGAAGAATTTTTCTGTATCTGTATTACTTTATTGAATAAGACTTGGAAGGAGATGCGAGCCACCGTTGCTGACTTCGTACAAGTTTTGAGTGTTGTAAAAGAACAGATTACTCAAGCATTAAACACTGATCCTACACCGACAACATTAGATAAGTTTAGGAACAAATTGGCATTGTTGCCATATAGTGAAATTATGAACCTCTGGCAACAAGATCGTGCAAACAAGGAAGAGTGGGAGTCTCAGGCTAAGCCTATTGTTGAACTTCGTGAACAGATCACTCCAGAAATCATGGATCTGATTCAGCAGCAACGCTTGCAATATTTATGTGAAGGTACAATGTTTACCAAATATTCAAGTAAAGGACAGCGTGTGAAGGACAAGTTTTGGTACTGTCGTTTGAGTCCAAACCATAAGTTATTTCATTATGGGAATTGTGAGGAAAACACAATACCATCAATAGATGAACTTGCACACAAGTTGCCAGTGGTAGAGATTAAAGCTTTGGTAACAGGAAAAGATTGTGCTCACATGAAAGATGTCAAAAAGAACAAGTCAACTGTTTCTCTTGCCTTCTCACTGATTCCAGATTCTGACCAGGAACCACTAAACTTTGTAGCACCTAATGAAAAAGTTTTTGACTATTGGACTGATGGGATCAATGCTTTATTAGGTAATCAAATGTCTAGCAAGGAGATGAAAAATGACTTGGAAATTCTTCTTAGTATGGACATCAAACTGCGTTTGCTGGACACAGAAGGTGTTACCATTCCTGAAAATCCCCCTCCCATTCCAAAAGATCCACCAAACTATGATTTTTGCTATGAGTTTAAGTAATTTTAATTGTAAATGTAGCTATAGCAGGAGATATTGTGTATTTTCTAGATCTTTTGAAAAAAAGGAAATCATGTAAATGTTAATGCAAACATTTATTATACTAGAAATATATTTCATAATTGTTGATTGCCATATATAAAAAAAAAGACACTAAATTATGGCTTCTGAATGACATTTGAAATTGACATTGCTCTGTAAATGTAACAATATGTTTAAATGTTTTCCCTGTTGTTAGTTATTTTAATCAATATAATTTTATAGTGCTTTGTGTTCTGATTGAAGTGGTATCAATTTCTAAGGGAAATCGATTTAACATGATGGTTAATTCAATTTGCTTACTGTATTGTTTTAAAAAAAATTCAATTTTAAGATAAACTATGGTAGTTCACTTAATAGTATAAATAAATTTGACATGTAAGTTGATTTCCATTATGGCTGATGTTGAACTTTTTAAGTTGAAAAAAAATTTTTGAAACAGTATATGGAAGGTATATTTTAATAGCAATAGTAATATTATTTATTATAAGTACTGGGTTCTGCTAAAGTTGTTGGTGATAAATGTAATTATTAAGTCAAGCAACTTTTAGTATATGAATTGGAAAAATAAGTGTTTAAAAAGGCTTAAATAAATGTAGTTATCTTTATTTGCAAAATGTGTTTTGTAAAACTTGTGTAAATTAAAGCAAACTGCATGTATATTGGAACTAAATTCACTTCTGTTTGTGTGTTGAGAGTAAGACAGAAGTAAAATTTGAATATAAACAAGTATATTTAAAAGTTTGCTAAATTCTGTTCATCTGGATCTGTCTTATATGTTTTATTAGCTTTTGAATAATATTTTTATTTCTAACATGACAAAAGATGAAATTAAAATTATATATATACATATTTACTTAGAAAACCAAGTAATTATTTGTATTCATTTCAGTTTAGGTGTTCTGAATACATACATCTTTATGTTATTGAATGTTTACAACATTTATTGATAAGTCAAAATATTTAAACAAACCTTAAACAAAAAAAGAAACATGTCCAATTAGTCTTGATTAATATTCATTTGCTTTATAATCTATTTTATGTCAGCAACTGCTCCTGTCAAAACCAGCTCCAGAGTGGTACAGTGTATGAATTTATTAATGTTTGTATGCTAGACATTATCTACAGGGAAGTTATTTCATAGTTACATTCTGTACATGGTTTCTGAATGTTTTAGGCTTATGTAACTTTGGAATATTTTCGTAAGAATTCTCCCTGAAGAATAAATGGTTAGCAGTACTAGTAATTTTCAAATATATATTATGTGGCTACTTGAATATATATATATATATACACACACACTTTTGTGTGCTCACAAGCTATTAAGATGCAGAGCAAAGCATTCCTCATAGCTGTATGTAAATGTAGTTTTGTATTTTAGTCACTGGAAATGTATTTATGTAAAATGTGATTAATAAAGAAATAAACTACTGGAGGTGGCTGTGTAAACTTCTGAAGAAATATATTTTTCATTTCATATCTGTATATTCTTTTTCTGACTTGCATAAAACATAGTTTCTCATTCAGTACAAGTAAATTAAAAATAAATGAATAAAAACCCTATAACTCAAGAGCTTTTGAAAGTGCTTGGGTTATAGGGTTTTTATTCATCTCTATCAAGACTTCTTGAACCCATGTGTTTTTCTAACATCATGAAAGTAAATTAGATATTTTATAAACATTACAGTCAGTATTTACAACCAAAATGTTATTGGACTTATAGTTTCATCCAAAAATGAGATGCTTGTAATATAATTTGGTACACTAAATTGAAAATAATGCATTTTTATTTGTTTTTTAAAAATTAGTTTAGGTAGTTGTTTTGTTTTTTTTCATTTACAAATTAATTTTTGTTTTATATTATCAAACATTTGAAATAAAGCCAGTAAAAAAAGGTAAGTACAACTCTTCGTATGTCAGCTTAATGTATCTTAATATAACATATGAACAACAATGGATGATTTGGTCCTTAAAGACAAGGCTGTTGTTGCACACCAATGTTTGAGAAAAGTACAATTTGAAATTCACCTTTTATTTTTCAGGAAATCAATCATTCCCCTTTTAAGCTCTTTCAAGGTAAAAACCTAAATCACTGTTGTTGGTAACCCATTCCATAAGCCAATTACCATATTAGAAAAATAAATAAGTCTAGCCTGCTTTTACAAAGCTTAAATTTGTGACATAATGGCTTTAAAATACAGCACAAAGGAGTTGTGTGTTTACCTTATTGATCTCTCTGAATAATCTTATAAACCTACTAAGATTATCTCTTACCTCTTAAAATAAGGAATCATCCTAGTAACCCTCCTCTAAACCCGTTTTGAATAAGATAATATACTGTTGCTTGTTAAAAAAAAATTGGGAAGTTTAAAGAATGATAAGGCACCAGGGCCAGATAATATTTCCCCAGTGGTTTTGCAGGAGGTTAAGAATTGGATATTGAACTTCCAATAGTCTGTTCTTCGTAGTTCTAATAATCGTCTGCCTTTTTTCTAAGTCCACATAGGTGGGTTCATTTAGTTCAGAACTCATTTGACAAAACATATTATTTTCCTTATTTTTTCAACCTGTTAATCTCAATTTAACATATCAACTGTTAGGCCATTCACTCTCACAACAGTTAACTTTATATTTTTTAAAACTTTTTTCTGACCAAACTTCTCTTTCACATGACTTTACTTTTATTCTCTTTCTACTCTTCTGGTCACAGCTATTTATATGTCTATCACTAGGCCTTCTAGAAATTTCCCTAGCCTCGACATCAATGGATTATAAACACAAAATACATTAATTAATAGATCTGCACTAAACAGTCTTTTGTATCTGACCATTTATTTGACCAACTCACTGAATGATCTAAATCCTTTTGTAAATTAGCAGCATCCTCTTCTCAGCTAACAACATCCAAGACCTTAACATCATCTGCAAATTTAAGCAATTTATTAACCATTCCTTCATCTATGTCATTGATGTAAATCAAAAAGAGCAAAGGTCCTAAGACTGAGCTCTAGGTTTCCCACTTGTAACATCCAGTTTGACTGAACTCCATTTGTAACAACCCTCTGCATTCCTCCATCCAGCCACTCTTCTATCCAATTTGCTAACTTAGACCCCACACCTACACAGATAAATCTTTTACAAGCCCTTTATGTGGCACCTTGTCCAAGGTTTTCTAAAAATTCAGATACAACAAATCTACACCCTTACCCTCATCTACATAAGCAGTAACCTTTTCAAAGAATGTCAAAAGATATGCAAGACAAGAGTTTTCCTTAGCAAAACCACATTGACTATCCAATAAAATTCTGAACTTTGTTATGTGGCTTTGAAAAGCATCTTTTAATCACACTTTCCAAAACTTTTACCATAACTGATGCAAGACTAATGGGTCTATAATTACTGGAACAATTTTTATCATCTCCCTTGAAAAGAGGAGTGACATAACTAGCTTCCAATCTTCTGGTACCTGCTTAGGCCAATTCAACTGATTTAGAATTCAGTTGATAAGCCAAACTATTTACCCCATGTTTTTATCGCAATACTATCCATGTATAATTCACTTATGCTGTTGCATGAGTTATTGCAGTTGTATCCTGACTGTTAAGGTTATTCCCATCCAAATTATACTTATAATTCAAATTATGATAACCCACATGCATTATCTTGCATTTATTATAATTAAAACCCATTTGGTCATGAACGAAAGGGATCTTGGTGTAGTAGTTGATCAGTCTCTAAAGCCATCCAAGCAGTGTGCTGTTGCTAGTTGTGGGGCATATAAGATTTTAGGTTGTGTATACAAAAAATATTGAATACAAGTCTAAAGCGTTTATAATTTCATTGTATAGGTCACTGGTTAGGCCACATTTGGAATATTGTGTTCAGTCTTGGGCTCCTTACCTTAGGAAAGACGTTGAATTGTTGGAAAGGGTTCAGAGAAGGGTTACTAGAATGGTGCCTGGGATGAAGGGGTTGAAATCTCTGATCTGATTGAGGTGTTTAAGATTGTAAAGAGAATTGATAGTGTTGATGTATCATCTTTTTTCATACTTAACAGTCAGAATAGTAGAACTAGGGGACTGATATAAATTTTGGCAGGGGAGGAGTCATCTTCAGCTAAGACAGTTTTATTTTACTAACAGGGTGGTTGGCCTTTGGAATCAGTTGTCATCTGATGTTGTGGAAGCATTAAATTTAAGTGAATTTAAGAGAAAGATTGATAACTATATTTTATTATAAGGGCTGGCATTAAGATTTTGTTTTTGTAATTTATTTATTAATAGTTTAGTTTTGAGGATGGAACAGCTGAGATGGACCATGTTGTTCCCATGTTGTTCCAAGACTTTATGTTATATCTGGTAAAACATAATATATACTTTTTTGTTTGATTGGATGTGATTAGTTTAATCAGTCAAGTTGGTCTACCGAACTGTGAAAACTATATGATTATGTAGTTATAATGTTATAAGTTGTACTAAGTTATAACTTGTAGTAATACTAGTAATAGTACTGTATTACTATTAAGTAATGTTCTAATGATGTAGTATTAGTAAGGTTAATAATAGTAATATTAATTATAGAAGATAATAATAGAATTATTTTAACTTTAAGGTTAACTCTATTACGTTTTAAATTAATAAGACTAGGAGTGAAAGTGTAGTCTTTAATTTTTAAATTAAGTGTGCTTAAATAAAGAAAAAAAGGTAATATTAAAATATAGTATCATGCAATACATGAATAAATTACATGATAAATATTAACAAATATAATAGCAATAACATATATCAATATAACCATAGTATGCAGGGTATAAGAAAAAGTTATTAAAGCCTAAAAGTAACATTACAAAGGTATAATACAATGTCTTATCTAGGTTTACACAATTAGAAACAAAGTAATAGTAATTATACATAGTTGGGCTATAGTGAACCCCCCTCCCAAACATGCACCAAAGGAATTAAAAACTAAATAACACAACAAACTTTTCTTTGATCAAGCTGTGTTTGCATGATCATTTACTGTAAATACATATAAATTATGATGTTCAAGGAACCTTTTTGCAAGTTTAGGCTCATCAAAGTCCTGAAGTTCAACAAACAGGAAGTTAGTCACAAAATTCAGTCCTGATCTCTCAAGTATTCAAAAAAACCCTTTTCTGAAATTCATGTCAAGCTGCATCCTATATTAATATAGATTCCACTAATTTGTTCCACAGATTTATTACCCATTGGAGAAATAAAACTGCCTAATCTGAATAATGGTTTGACCTTTTCAAGTCGTAAATTTATGTTTCAGTCAGCTGCCCTCAGAATTAAAGAAGAAAAAACTTGGAGAATCAGGCTTATAAGTTACCATATAGATATTAATAAAAATATTCACCACTGTTATCAATGCATGTTTGACATCAATATCTTCATGTGAAAACAATTTATGAAATAGAATTAGTTTCTTTAGCATTATTATTAGAGGTCCTCTGCCCCAAACTCGTGCTAGAAACAAGTACATTTGTGTGGTGATGGATTATTTCACCCAGTGGCCTGAGGCGTATGCAATACCAAATTAGGAAGCTACAACTGTAGCTTCGGCTATTAGTGATTTCTTCTTCAGATTTG